AACCCCAACTCTCTCAGCCTGTCCTCACAGCAGAGGTGCTCCAGCCCTTGGGTCATCTTTGTGGCCTCCTCTGGACTCGCTCCAACAGGTCCATGTCCTTCTTGTGCTGAGGACCCCAGAGCTGAAGGCAGTACTGCAGGGGGGTCTCACCAGAGTGGGGTAGAGGGGCAGAATCCCCTCCCTCAATCTAAATATATTTCTGTGCACTCCAGAGCATTAGCTAGTGGGCAAGGTCAGAGTATCAATAAAAGTATAGACAGCTTGTTCCTTCTTCACTTACGGTGTCATAGTTTTCACCAGGCTTCCCCCTCAGGGGCAGGCTGTACGTGCCACATAGCTGGCCTTTACAAAAACGGCACTGCTGGTGGCAGGAGCACAGAGCCACCGGCGTGGTGGCAGAAGGCCAGGCACAGCCTGCCCACACCGGCACACCACGGTGAGCGGTGCCCGTGCTGTCTGCCGGCGGGCGTGAGCCCTCCCGCTGCCCCGGGGCCATGGCAGCCCTGTGCGACACTGGAAGCCTGCAGCCCCGCCTCGTTGAAACAGACTGGTGCAAATAAAGTTCAAGGTAACTTTACAGATCAGGGTCATATTACTTTTCAACTGCCTATGTATATAAAAAGCGCAGACAATGCCTCGCTGTGTGGCAGAAACACTCTCCCCTGCTGTCAATGCATAGGTCCGCGTGCACTGATCCCTGCCACCGGGAATTCTGGCTCTATGGCTACTGAGTTCCCAGAGGAGAAATTCAGGAGATGTCAGGGTGAGACACACCATGCTAAGAACACCCTGTACCAGATCCTTAACAAAGAGCATGCAAGTGAGACCAAGTGGCACCAGCAGTATCGCAGTCCCCACCGCTCCACGGGAAGCAATGGCTGCTCTTGTATGGACACAAGAGTTGTCCTGAAAACGCCAGAAGCCACGTGCAGAAGAGCTTCTGCAGTGCTCTTGAAGACTGTAACTTTTATTAGAAACTTGCCTTCTTTTTATCACGTGCCTTGGGAGGATCAGCTTGTGCTCATACAGCAGAACTGGGTCCCTCTTTTTGTCCTGGGCATGGCACAAGAAGGGGTGGATTTTGACCTGAGAGAGATTTCAGCCCCTAGTTTACTGAAAAAAATCCTCCTCAATCAGTCTTTGGCAGCTAGCGATGAACTGGGCAGCTCATCACTGGGAGCATCTTTAGCAGAAGTTCAGAAGATGAAGAACTTACTGGGGAAATTCTGGGACCTGACCATAAGTGCAAAAGAATATGCCTATCTTAAAGGAATTATTCTTTTTAATTCTGGTAAGTCCTCCGGGAATTTACACAGATGATTATGTGCCTAGAAGGACATTCGGCATTTTCATTTGCATATAGACAAATGTTTAGTTTTACTCTTTTCTATGAATATAGCTAAATGTTCTCAAAAATCCATATGCCACAATTTAATGATTTTCTCTCGGAAGTAGTTTATTTAGGTTCCTTGGATGTGCGCAGTAGGTCACCCACTGTAAGCCAAAACAGCTTCTATTTTAAGTCATAAAGAATTAACCGAGGCACTTCAAACTGATTTCCAGTTCAAAGGTAATACAGCAGCCTCACCCACAGAACAGCAAAGGAGAGATGCTACATGGGTACGTGATGCCAGTATTAGAAGTATTTTAACAAAGACTGCCTCTGTAGCAAGAACACTGGAGAAGATAAAATAATCTGTATCAGCTGATTTTCATCAATGAGGATGAAGGATACCGCGTTGGGGTTACACAGCTGTTATGTATTTATTTATCCTTTAGTATCTCTACATTCAAAGCCTGGGACAGCAGTCACGGAGCAAACTCAGACTAGTGATTGTAACCTCTCACTTCTGCTGCCAAGTTGAGCCTCTTTAGGAAGGAAGGCTGCCTAGGTCAGCACCACGGGGTGCGTGAGTCATTAAAAGCTGAGCTCTAAGTCCACTGAAGTAAATGGAAAGACATATTGACTCCAGGCTGCTCTGGCTCAGATCCCTGACTCCTTCCACAGCAATCACTGCCGTTGGCTGCACCGTCAGCAGTGTGCTACACTTGGGACTGTGCCAAAAGGATACTTGAACACTTCAGTTATTCCATCATATTTCTTATGGTGAATGGTTTATAGGCTGCTCAAAGGCTGTAGTGACTTTATATTTGTTTCCAATAGGATTCAAATTCTGATTCTTGGGATGTAATGTCATCCAGATGTTTGATATTGTCTTCTGTGTTTATGTCGCAGCATCAAACCAGTGGAGTTTGTTTCACTGCAAGTTATTTTCTCAGTTTTTCAAAATAAAATCAGGCTGAAAGAAACCATCGGTTATATCCAGGGTGATGATAAGAGGAGAAATCTCTCATCTGCAGCAGATTACACAGTTTAACTAACAGGCATTTTTATTATCTCTGTGGATAAAATGTGATTTTCATTTAAGAAGAAAGCAGCAGAAGCAGTGTTATGTTTTGGATTCATGCCTTCTAAAGCCTGCTGCTTCCCTGGGGTGCCGTACGAGGGGCCCAGGAGCCCTTCAAGCCGTCTGCAGGCACCCTCTGGAGTTTCAGGGGGACTCTCCAGTTCATAGGTGGGCTGACCCTGTTTTCTGGAGGTGCCTTTCTCCACGGGCTGCAGAAGGCGACTGGGAGGACTTCAGGAAAACCTAGACTGACTCCAGATGAAACAAAAAGTCACAGTCTAACTCTGAGCTGAAACAGGTACTCAGGGCTTGTACGCAGCCCAAACTGCCCTTTCTCTACCTGTTTTGCTGCAAACAAATCTGTACAGCTGTTGTTTCACAATTACTATTTTTAATAGTTTTTGAACACTTTCCATCAAACTCAGAAAATGTTTTCTACATACATGCAGCACATTTTCAGCTGCCCTCTTAGTTTTGCCTTGAAGTTTGGCCAAATCTTAATATTTTACAGATCTTAGTTCTAAGAGTATTTCAGGCAGCCACCAGCAGCAACAACGCTAAACCCTCTCATGGATCATGGAGTACCTTGTGTGGGCTCCCACCCTGAAGGTTTTATTCCTGTTAGGACCACCAAAACTGGCTGAGTCAGCAAAGGGGAAGGACCAGGCATGGAGTAGTCCAGAGCTGAGTTATGAGTTGAAGCTCAACAGGGCACCCAAAAACGCAGCTGGAGCAGCCCAGCTAGGCCAGTGCTTGGGCCAGAATCATGACAAACAAGTATGGCAGAGCTTTGCTTGTGCCCTAAGTGATCTCCTGTGGCACAGAGATTGTGGTTACTACCATAAAAAAAATTCCTTTGGGGACGGGGTGGCAGGCAGGTCCAGATGCAAGACCTTCTCTAGGACCTGGGCAATAAGTTAAAGGAAGGAGCAGGTAGGACTGTCCCACCACGCGTGAACAGCACAGAGTGAGGTGAAACTGCTCTTGCTGCTTTTGACAATTGTCTGAAAAGCAATGGGAACAGTGCAGTGAAGAGATGGGAATCGTGAAAAAAAGGGCTGTTCCTGTATCAGTGCCATATATGCATGTATTTATGGAGTTATGTATACACATAACTCCATCAAGGCTGTGACAGGACTTCTGTTAAAAAAGACGCTCTTAAGAGGTTTATAGTTCAGCTGGAAACATGTATTTGAGTATTTTTATGGCAGATCTCAGAACAAGAAGTTTCTCATTATTTTTAATTAAAACCAGTGTTTGATTACATATAAAGGAAGACCAAATGGGGAAATTAAGCAAAGTTGAAGGGATATAAGCAATTGCAATTTCATCCTGAATATACAAAATTCTGACAACTTCCTTTGCATGAAAAATCTAACACTTGGAACCATTCTCACAGCTTGCAGCTGGTGGTAATGCTGGGGGAGAAGATGACTTTTCCAAACCCTTCATTTCTGGCTAGCCTGGTTGCAGGCTTTGCTGAGGCTTCTGCTCCTCTGGCAGTGATGTCTAGGGAGAAGAGAGCTGCTGAAGACTGACAAAGGGCAGCCAGCCACAGACTGAAGAAAACCCAAGCAGGTTGGTTTTGCCCTACTACAGGGCACTAGGCAAGAAGGCAGAACCTCCCACGCCGAAACAAATGATCCTGTGTGAAGCACTCCCCGGTCTAAGCTATTCAGGTCCCATCCCAGCGAGGTATGGAGTCACCCACTGTAAAAGATGCCAAATGGGCCTGGAGCGTGTGCTGGGAGACAGGTTAAAATAAGACGTGGGAGGTGGAAGTCAAAACTCAGGGATCATGCTACCCCTGTCCAGGCTGCAGCAATTCTAGGAAATAAAAGGTAGTGTTATCCTCAGGCGGCAAGGACAGGAGGCAACAGGTTGCTGAGAGTGACGTGACAAGGCAATCCCACCAGAGGCAAAGGGTAAACACAGGGTGTCCTTTGCCCTGAGCCCTGGCACCCACACAGACACTCACTGAGCCAGAAGGTCTGAAGTCACCTGCCACGGGAGGTATGTGATTGAGGATCAAGACCATGACTCCATAGGGCAGAGACCTCTCCCTCCTCAGAAATGGCTGAGGAAAGGGAGTACAAAACCAGGAAATACAAGTATCTGTCCTACTCCTGTGGGTCATGGTACATCTCACAGAGAACCTTTATGTTCTTTTTAGAGTGTAGATGAAGATATCTAGATAGCATGGTGAACCTCAGTGTGCCAGCTTAGTCTAGCAAGCAGAGGCAACAATAGGAGGGAGATGGGGCTAGAAACCTATGTCTTCAGGCTGCCAGCCTGCTCGCTGCTCTGAACCACCTCCATCTTCCTGATATCACGTAACTATTTCAGATTAGAGCTGGAATGTTTCCAGCTACTCAGACTATGGTCTCAGCATCATTTGGTGGGTGGACAACACTAAATCTTCTCCATCTGTACTGAGTCAAAGCTACCTCCTGTTACCATTTCAAAGCTGGACTTAATGTAACAGGCTAGATTCCAATGTGCTTACAATGCTGTTCAATATTCTTTCACATTATTGAACTACTCGTATCTTCTTTTTCCAACAAGTATGTTGAGAAAGTTTTTATTGTTTTCTAGAGAAAGCAGTACTATAAGCTTGAAAGCCAGATAGCCATCATTATGAAGGGCACAGAATTAAAGTGTGTACTCAAGATTTATTTTTTGTTTTGACAGGATGCCATGACCTAAAATGTCTCCCCTATGTACAAACACTGCAGCAGGAAGCTCAGCAAGCCTTGGTGGAGTTTATCTCAATGATGTTCCAGAGAAACTTGGGCAGGTTTGCTCAGATTCTTCAGCTAATTGCCTCTCTTCACGACATTGATGCAGATGCTATTGAAGAGCTCTTCTTCAGGCCCATCCTAGGAGAAGCCACCCTAAATTTATTACTTCTAGAAACCCTATATATCAAGCCAGACTGGCTTTGAAAGTAGATGACATCTGTATCTCAAATACCTAGTTTTGAAGAGATGAGAGGATTTTATTAGCTAAACACATTTCCAACAAATAATTGACCCATCTTTGTAAGCCATATCAATTTTTTGTATGATGAAGTAATTTTCTAACATTGTAGAATTAAAAGCAGAGAAATCTAAGCATTTCATGATTCTGTGTGCTTTCAAAAACCTTTAGTCGAACATATTCAAAGACTGCCTAGGAGAACCAGCATACCTTCCAGCTGTGCTAGGTTCAACTGTATTATTTCCAGTGAGCAGTTTTACAACTGTTTAAGACTATGCTATATGTTTTTGGCTTTCCAGAAGTTTTTGCTTTCAGGAAAAGGGGCAGTGGTAAATTTTATTCAGTTCCTCACCAATTGAAGATGAATAGATACATAAAAAACTGATCAATGGTAAAATCAGTATAAATACTTCCTTTTCTTGGGATGTCATTCCCTGATCCCAACCCCTTTTCTGTTCCACTGAGAACTCTAGTCCTTGGCTGTAATTGCTTGAAGGAGCTTCCCCTCACCAACTGTTTTCTTATAGGTTCCTTTTCCAAGTCTTGCAGTAAACTGTGGGTATTAAATCCTTCTCCCATTATTCACAAAGTCCTCCCCTGACTAAGAAACTGAACAATATGATTCAAAAATTTGTTGACTAGACAAAAGCCATTGTTCAGGATTGTTTCCAGGATGGGAATAACAAAAGCTGAAAGCTACTGTGTTGTGCCATAAGCAGCAGAACTAATGTAGCCCAGTTTCCTACATATTTAAGACCTTTCCCCTTTAGCCCTCCCTTGCACCCTTTTATAATTACCCTCACTTCCCTCCAAACAGATGACAGATGTTCCTTGGACAGCAGAAATGCTGAAATATGGTTTCCTACAGATGTGTACAATCTGTTCCTCCATCTCTCGCTGCAAGAGTTCCATGTCTCCACCTCCAATGTGCTATGGCATGTCTCACAACATCTCGCTGTCTCCTATCTGTCTGGCTGGAGAAGAGGCAGCACGTGTGGAGTTGGCACCAAGCTATGTGTGTGTTGTGTGGTCATCTGTCAGGATAAAAAACACATGGAGCTTATACTTTAGCTGCAGTGAGGGAAGCCATTTGTATCTCTTTCCTGCCCCATTCTTCTCCCAGTGGTTTCCATGAAACTTAGAGGAATTAATTTCTGATTTTTTTCAGTGGATGGTCCAATCTAGTTTTGTTTGGCAAAGGGGCTCAAATTCACCAAATGGGGACTGACAGGCAGGTAGACAGAGAGGAGGACAAAAAGTATGATAGCTTAACCCACCCTTCCTTAGAAAGTCAAGCTAAAATCCTAAGAAAAAGAACTCACATATATATACATGAACACATCAACACATATTTACATACAGAGATGGATGTTCAAAGGACTTTAAAAGAAAGTCAATCAAGGAAAAAAGAAGTTTAAGAAAGAAGAAGAAGAGTTTACTACCTACCACAACCTGAACCCAGGACAGGGTTCACGATTCAGTAGCCTGAATTTCAGGCTACTGAGAGCACATCAGACAGTCTCTGCTCACAGCTTTACTTCTTATTGAAATCTGCTTCAAGGTCTTTGACTTTATCTTCAAGGTATACAGTGGCTTCACTTCAACTTTCTTTGAATTGGAGGGCACAATGCCAACAAGCTCTCATGGCTTGGCTCACCTGGAAGACAATGCTGTATTTGCTGACTACTCTTTTAGCCTGATGAGTGTCTATGTAACCAACTGTCCGAAAAGAATGCCTAGTGCTCCACAGTGAAGATCATAGTCAACATCCTGGGTTCTCAAGATGGCGTTACCTTCTACCATGAAGGCAAATACTAGGCTTCAAAGGGAACTCCCCAAGAGATCTGATACTCATGGATTTCACCTCATTGTGCTCTGAATACAAGATTCAGTCCTTCAACAGGTCTTTAAAAAACACATCTTCTTTAGTATGTATGCAATTAAAACTCAACAACTTCGAGCTAAAGCTCTATGTAACCAAACATTCCCTGTCTCATAGACCTGATCACAGAGAGCACGAATGTTAATAGTCATTTCCTTGATATCCTCTTCAAAAGGGCTGAGGTACTACTGTCTTGCTGAGGACAGAGCCAGAATCTGTATCTAATGTAATTAAGCTGCACTTGGAGGTGGAGGCTGTGAAGGTGCAAGAAGCAGGCAGGAACAGGAATGGTGAGGGATCATGAGCAGAGGTTAGGAGAAAAAGCAGGAGCTCTCTTTGGAAGGAGGAAAGGCACAGCACAAGATACTCTTTAGAAGTCAAGGGAAATAACGCACTGGAACGGAGAAGCGGAGATAGAAATGAACAGACGGCAAGAGGAAGACAAGGAAAAATTCCCCATTCCCTCCCCCAAGAAAAAAAAAAAGAAAGAAAGAGGAAAAGACCAACAAAGAGAGAAAGGTTTGTCATCACTTCCTTTAGCTTCTGGAATTGAAACCAGAAGCAGAAGCACTGTTTTTCCGGCTGTGAAATCCACCAGCGAAGCATGTCTATCCATCCCCCTCTAGTGCTCAGGAGATGACAGTATTGCCACCACCTAGGATGTGGGCTTGGCTGATGGAGACCTGCCAAATAAAGTACCTAGCGCTGCTGATCACCTAGGCAGAGCTTTCACTCACAGACACCTCTCCTTTCCCAGTTGCTGACTTTTTTCAAAATACTGTATGACGGTATTTTTAAATTGTTAGAAGAAACCTACATTTGCAAAACCAAGGATGAAAAGTTAAATTAAATTTGTTTGTGAAACCTTACTGTAGCATCCTTCCGCGTATGATCATAAGCTCTTCTAATGACCTGTTACAAACTCCGGTGGTTTCCCCTCAGGACTCCTTACCTTACATGGGGCAAAGAGTGGCCTGTGCTGTGGGAATCTGTTACGTCCGTACAAAAGAGGTTGCTGTCTGCTAAGGCTCAGCTGCTTTCGTCACAGCACCAAAAGAGCTGAACCTAGATTAAAATGGGTCTGCAGTGACAGAAACAATGCTCTTACAGTTAAATTGGACAAATGACACTTTACAGGCTGTGGGGCAATCACAAGTGGCATCATTCCAGGCACTCCAGAGTGGTATGTGTCCCAGAATAAAGCTGCTACTAACAGTGTTAACTGGAATAAAAGTTGTTTTTCATAGTGGCAAACAAGGGACCTGGGGAAGCGTGGTTTGCAGAAGTCAGTAGGCTCTCACAGCTGCAATCCAGGTCACAACAAACTGCGACTCACACTTCTAAAATGATGTATAGTGCTGTAAGCACTGAAAAATCAGTCTGTGCACACCCAACGTGCAAGGAAGCTTTCAACTGCTCTAATCTTGGCATTTTAAATTTTTTTTGTGTGTGTGTAAAAAAACCTCATAATTATATTGCCTCTTTTTGTGACACATCTTTGAAGATATTCATCAGTGTTTGTAAAGAGCTAAAAAATGCTACACCTAAGCACCTTAGAAAGTCCCACTGAAAATGAGTAATTCTGTGCTCTATGCTATATTCAATAGCACACAGTAAAATAATGCAGAGGCCTAAACATCACAGGGAAAGGATAAAAAGAGAAGATACTGAAGAGTAAGATTTAGTCAGCACCGAGTAAGGCAGTGATCCTGTGGCAAAAAAAAATATGTCATTTGCTATGGTGGGATCCACCTTGCAAGCGAGCCTCTTGCACTCTCTCCAGAGCAGAGAGCGAGCGATGAGCATGCTCTGAGGGAGGTATGCCTCTCTTCTCTTAGAAACCTACCTCAGGTTTGGATGAATCACGCTATGAAAGGCTTTACCTCTGCCTATTGATATAGCTAAGGAGCCTACCTGACCATTTGAGATTCACTGCTTCACTTTCAGATGGTAAAAGTGAGATCCCACCTCTACAACACAGAAGTTGTCTTGATCCAGTTTGCACGTGCAATATTAACTTTAACAGCTTCTCATGTTAGCATGCTTGGGTTTGCAGTCCTGATCTCTAAACAGCAGGTTTTAGACTTATGCTTCCAGCTAAACGTGTATTTCTAATAAACAACAGATATCTGACATAGGCTTGGAAACAAAGATAATTCAGTGATTTTTATTCACCTGCCCAGAAAGGACTAAGAAGAAACACCATTCTCTGAGAAAACATTCACCTGTTTTGTTTAAGTAATACCAGATTTCAGTGTCACGTGGGACCTCACACTCCTGTATCTGTGTCCTGATCTATATCAATATTTCTATGTTTTTTTTCTGTGGAATGTCTTTATTACCTCTTTTGTAGAGATGAAGCTATTTAATTTAAAACCTAAAATTTCACTTTTGCTAGAAAGCACTTGCAAGTCATAATATCAGTCTTAGATATAATTTTATTTGCAGCTGACCCAACTATTGTAGGGTACACATATGTGAAAAATGCAGTGCTGTACTTCATATTAATATAGTCACACAAGGAAACATACGTCACCTATTTCCATTCCAGGTCCACTGATAAAAGCAGCCTAACTCAGGGAAAAAAACCTGGAGACATGTTTCTATAATAAAGGTATAGGCTAAAGAAGCTCCAGTTCTTTTAATGACAAAAAAGGATCTCACTGAAGCTGGTGTCACTAATTATACAGAAATCCTCACTCTTTTCCAGTGGGCCAGGAGAGGGGAGGGTGAGTCAGTTCAGTTTTGCTTGGGCTTGTTATCAACTGTTGTCCTAGGTGAGGCTGTGATTTTGAAAGTACAAGTTGTCATTCTTCCTGTGCGCTCGCTCGCTCTCTCTGCCTGGGGGGGTGGCAGAAATGTTGCAAGATGAAGCACTCCACATCTCACCTAAGATAAGAACTTCTTCATCAAAGGAAGACATGGCTATAGCTATCTGCTAGCAGGTAATACCTTAGGAGCCAAGAATGCAAAGCTTCAAGCAGCGTGGGAATTGTCCCATTTCAGTCACAGCGGAAACAGTGAGAGCCACGCGCACTCACATAAGCATAGATGTTTACTAGGAGGGCAAAATGGCAATCTAGC